CCCAGAGCAGAGCAGCGCGGGCCCCAGCGACCCGCCCGCCATGGGGGACGAGGATGAGGATGAGGGCTGCGCCGTGGAGCTGCGGATCACGGAAGGTGGGGCCGGGCGGCCAGGGACACCGGGGAGGGGTGATGGTGCTGGGGCCCAGGGAGGGGTCATGCACCGGCTGGGCTCATTCGTCCCCTGTGCCCACAGCCAACCTGACCGGGCACGAGGAGAAGGTGAGCGTGGAGAACTTCGAGCTGCTGAAGGTGCTGGGCACGGGAGGTGAGGACCCCCACCCGCCGGGCAGATGTCCCAGGGACGGTGCCCTGGGCCTCCCCACGGGCACACCCGCTTGGGCCTGGGCCAGGCAACCGGCTATGCCCCCCACCCTTTCCCGGCCCCGCCCTGCCGTGACCGGGTTTGCATCCCTCTCAGGGCCTCTCCTTCCCCCAAGGGCCTCCCGAGTTTGTCAACACCCTTGGGTGCTCGCAGCCCTCCGAGCGGTTAGCAGCGCTCCTCTCCGGGCTGTGTGCGAGAGCCCTCTCCCCGCTTTGCAAACTCCCAGCTCAGGTTTGCACATCCCTTCCCTGTCCGCCTGCACCTCTGCCTCCCTCCTCGGATTGGCATCCTCTCCAATCAGTCTGATCTTCCACAGGTTTGCACACGCCCCGCCCCCACTTGCTCTGCAGGCCTCCTGGAGCTGCAGGCCCCCAGCTGGTTTGCACACCCCCTCCCCGGCTTTGCTGTGCACCTTTCCCTTCCTCTCACCCAGCTCTTTCCTCCAATTTGCACACCCTTCTGGGTTGGCATCGTTCCCACAGCCACCAGTCTGTACCACCCTTCTGCTCACGGCCTACCTCCTGCCCACTCCCTGCTCCCACAGCCTACGGGAAGGTGTTCCTGGTGCGGAAGGCAGGCGGGCACGACTCAGGGAAGCTGTATGCCATGAAGGTGCTGCGCAAGGCCGCGCTGGTGCAGCGCGCCAAGACGCGGGAGCACACGCGGACAGAGCGCTCCGTGCTGGAGCTGGTGCGCCAGGCACCTTTCCTGGTCACGCTGCACTACGCCTTCCAGACCGATGCCAAGCTGCACCTCATCCTGGGTAAGGGCGGGCACCTGCCCACTTTGGGGGCCAGGAAGCAGATGGGGCCACTGACGGGGACTGCTTCCCAACCTCCACTCTACCCCCCAGACTATGTGAACGGGGGCGAGATGTTCACCCACCTCTACCAGCGCCAGCACTTCAAGGAGGCCGAGGTGCGCGTGTATGCGGGCGAGATCGTGCTGGCGCTCGAACACCTGCACAAGGTGGGTGCGGACCTGCCACGGCCTGTTGCCATGGGCAATGGTCTGGGCCTTCTCAAGGGCCTCCAAACAGGACCGCTGCAGGGCTCGCTCTCCCTGGGCCTCCTGGGGGCGGATAGGGGGAACCGGAGCTGCTGCCCTGGCCTCCTGGTGGGGTCTCCCCTGGCGCCTCCAAGGGGCTTTCCTCTCACAGGGAACTCCGGGTTGCCTTCTGGGCCCGTGTTCACAGAACTTCCTCAAACCGAGACCTTGGCTTCTGAAGCTGTTTTGAGATGGGGCTCTTCACACAGGCTTTCCTATCTCTGGGACCTTGGGGTCTGCTTCCCCAAGAGACCCCCATGGAGTCCTCCTTCCTTGTTTTTGCCTCTTAAATGGCCTATTGGGTCCATTTCTGCCCTGGAGATCCCCGTCTCCTGAGCAGCGACCTGTGTGTGTGAAGTATGAAGGTCTGCTTGGTTTAACAGGGGGGGGGGGGGGGGGGGGGGGCGAGGGAGGAGGCTCAGGGCCCCTCTTGTCCTGCCAGCTGGGCATCATCTACCGAGACCTGAAGCTGGAGAACGTGCTGCTGGACTCCGAGGGCCACATCGTGCTCACAGATTTCGGGCTGAGCAAGGAGTTCCTGACAGAGGAGGTGAGTGAAGGCCACCCCGCATCCTGCACCCCAGGCAAGCCACCTCCTCCCTGCTCCGGCTCCGGGCCTGGCTCTGCGTTTCTCGGGGTGCAGAGGGAGACAGCCCCACGCCCTGCGCTCAGGAAGTTCCCACGGCTCCAACCGCATAAGTCTCGCGAGTCCTACTCTGAGCCTTGGGCGTTGCTGGGTGTCCAAAATGGGTCCTCTTGCCCTCCCAGAAAGAGCGGACCTTCTCCTTCTGTGGCACCATCGAGTACATGGCCCCCGAAATCATCCGCAGCAAGTCGGGGCATGGCAAGGGTTGGCAG